ATCTCGTATGGTGTTTTGTCCTTATTTCTGTTAGGAACTCTGTTTAACGCATGATTCGAGGTAAACAATGCCTCCCCCACCATGCCTTAGGTAGCCCTGCGGTGTCCAACATGGCATTCACTAAGTCAGTCAGTGTGCGGTTCATCCTTTCAGCAATCCCATTAGACTTGGGAGAATAGGGAGGCATCCTCTCATGTATGATACCATGTTCCTTACAGAATAAGTCAAACTCGTTTGAGAAAAACTCTCCAACACGATCAGACCTAAGTCTTTTTATCTTTTTACCTAAGTACACATAGCAAAATCTAGTAGCATCATCAATCAACGTCATGAAATATTGCTTTTCACCCTTCGTCAACACCCCATTCATTTCACAAAGATCTGAATGTAGGGGTTCTAGAGGTACCAAGTTTCTCTCCTCGGCAGTCTTGTGAGGCTTGCGAGGTTGCTTCGATTGCACACAACTATGGCACTTAGAACCTTTGACAATGGAAAACTTAGGAATTAAACACATGCTGGATAGCCGAGACATCAAGCCAAAATTAATATGACATAAACGTGAGTGCCAAACATTAGCCTCATCATCCACACTGCCACAAATATGGTTCACAGACTTATTGCAGAAATCAGAAAGGGAAAAGCGGAATAGGCCTCCGCACTCATAACCTTTACCAATAAAATATTCATGTTTAGACACGACTACTTTATTAGACTCAAAAACCAACTTAAATCCGTCCCTAGTCAGACGGGAGCCACTAACAAGATTCCTATTGATAGTAGGGACATGCTGCACGATCTTTCCCGAAGTAAACTTCAGATCTACCGTGCCAACACCATGAACGGTGAAACCCCATTCCCCATTAGGATGGTGGAACCCCGTGCGACCTGATAAGAAGAAAACAATGAGATGTCAGCACAAACATGTACATTGGCTCTAGTATCAACCCACTAGTTAGTAGACTGATTAACTGAAAAAATAGTAGGTAAATTAGCATACCCGCTTCCATCTCCAGTGTTGCCAATAGTCACATTTTCAGACTTGAAAGTCTGCCCTGCAGGTAGGTGCCTTCATCCCCTTGCGTTGTGGACACTTCTTGGCCAGATGACCAGTCAAGCCACACACAAAGCAAGTCCTCTCATCCAGGTTAAGATGGTTGTTGTTATTCTTCTGTTTCTTGAAGTTGGTGGTCTGTGGAGCTTTGTATTTCCCCTTGCTCTTGTTCTAGGCCTTGAGCACAACATTGGCACTGGACTGCCCACCATCGCCCTTAGACGCGGCGTCCTTTTCCTGAGCTTTTTCCTCTACATCAAGAGAGCTATCAACCCCTCAACGGAGTATTCCTGTCTCTTGTGTTTGAGTGCAGTACCGAAACCTCTCCAAGATGGAGGTAGTTTCGGAATAATGCAGCCGGCCACAAATTTGTTGGGTAAGACACACTTAAGGAGTTCGAGTTCCTTAGCCATGGTTTGTATCTCATGAGCCTGCTCAACTACAGAACGATTGTCAGCTATCCTGTAGTCATGAAACTGCTCCATGATGTACAGATCATTGCTAGCATTAGTAGCACCGAATTTAGTATTCAGTGCATCCCACAACTCCTTAGCGTCGGTCATATGCATATACACCTTGACCAGACGATCGCCAAGAACGCTAAGAATGCATCCCACAAAGAGAGTAGTGGCCTCATCGAATTCTTTCTCCTGGTCAGCAGTAAGAACTCCCACAGGTTTGCCAGTACTCACCCAGAAGCATTTCATAGCTGTCAGCCATAGAGTGACCCTGATCTGCCATCTCTTAAAGTGCACACCGGTGAATTTATCTGGCCTCAGTGCATCGGCAAAACCAGCCATAGTAAAACCACAGGGCCTATAATAAGGTTTTTGGATTGTTGAAATTATAAGCACATAATGATTTAATTTATTCCATAAACAAATCATGACATTGCAGATGTAAACTAGCATGAACGCATCATTAGATCTATATATGTAAACTACACAGTATAACATGAACAGATCAAATATGCGCAACATATTGAACACGTACCGAGATTGTGGAAAGACCGGTTGCTCGGCAGGAACTACTCGCGGTTGCGGGCGTCGACGAAGGCGCGCAGCTGTTGACAGAAAACACGAGGCCTGGGAGATCTGCTTAACTCCAGTGCAGGTCCAAAGCTCGCCTTCGGGTATGCTAGCATGCTAGTTGATTTGATCCTGTAATCAACAAGAAATAGAAGCAAAGAAACCGCGGTTAAATCTATAAATGATAGCCGATCGGCTAGGTGCCGATGACGTATCATTTATCTTTGAGCAGATGTCATGTGTGAATCGATCGGCAGTTGTAAATAAACAATAAAAAAACTAAATCTATTCGATCGGCTGTAGATATCTCCAATATATAATTCTTACATCGATATATACTTAAATCAAGTGATTGGGATAGATCGGTCGCTGTGCCGAGACAATATAAATCACTTAGATCAAAATATATATTAATAACAGGACTATATATGTTTATAGCATAGCCGATCAGATAGATCTAACATGTATCGGCTAATACTCCGATACTACTCTATATCATGATATTAAAACAAGTATAATATATCAAACAAAGGTCTAATATACTTAAATACAACAATATTTTGACGTAAAAGGGCAGATTTAACAAGTCAATGAAGCATATAAAGCAAATGTAGTTAAGTCAAATAAGATCGGCTGAAACTCCGATGCTACCCTAATCGGCAACCAGAAAACAGGCTAGAGATTGATATTCTAAGTACAACTTAATAGATCAAACTCAACTGATGCAGCATTAAGTATGAAAAGAAGAACAATATCTAGACAATCAAGCCGCTGGAAGTTTCATAGAGTTGTAGATATCTTATATAATCTAAATCAACATCGATATCTAACCTAATCGGCTGCCCTCTACCGACAGATGTTAGTCGATTGTAGATTAGATAACGATATTGCCAGGGATTATGTAAGATATAAGATAACTCAATGAATTACATAAACGAGATCAGAGTGTCATAAAGATGGAAGCCCTAATCCCGAGAACACAAGTCGTCATAACAAGTTTTACCTCTTGTTGAAGATCGAAACCAATGCGGCTCAACCCGAAAGCAAGAACTTGTCGAAACAAAACTAAAGGAAAAAGAGTGGCGATGCGCCGAAATTATATTGGACGTGTGTGTTAAAAATTACATAGGGCTCGGGTCTATTTATACCCGAGAATTACAAGATATGTCCATAACGGACACAACTGCTATCTCTAACAAACTCTAAGATACCATAAGTTTTTGCGACAGACTTTTTCCCAAACGTATCTCTAAGGAAATTACATAAAACATCCTAATTAATAGATACAATTGCCTCCTTAGGATTCTATCCATGTGCGGCAATCACCTTGAAGCACCTCAATCCAACCTGACACCATACATCAAGTTGTATTGTTGAGATCGGCTACATCGGCTTACCTATTCCGACTCAGACTCAGCCGATCTTATCGCAGCCGATTTGGACTCTAGCCGATTCCTGCTCTGTTTTCGAACTCGATCTCCGCCTCTAACTTTGCTTCGATCTAATCTTCTTTCCCGATGCCGATATTACCAAATTTGGTTGTTAACAGCAGCATGCGAGCGGAGAGGAAGGCGAGCCGTCGCGGATGAACAGGGAGCAGTCGCGCGAAGCGCTTCCCAAAAACCTTATTGCTGCCTTCTCCCGGTGCAGGAAGTCGAAGGCAGAGGTTCTAGAGACCTGCTCTCCCGATCGCCTGTGCACGCCGGCGAATGGGATGGAGTAGTCTACGAGCGACGGCGCAGCACAGAGTAGGAGGCAAACCCTAGATTGATTTCGCGTGTGTTGCGTGAAGACGGCGGCTCGGCTTATATAGAGATAGGTCGCTTGATCAGAGCGCCCGCACGATCTCCACTCCGCGTAACTGAATGGATAAGTCACGCGTAACTTATCCGGACTCCACGCTGTTTTCACGCACCGGATTTTTCGGAATGTTTCCAAAACAAAACAAATCCGAATTTCCTGCAGCAAAACAAAATTGCAAAAGGAGGCTGCATCTGCGCAAGGGTGATGAGCCAATTTTGCGGCGCGCCGCCTGCCCTGCCAGGCTAGGCGAGCGCGTGCGTGCGTTCCCCCTCTTCTCTCCACCACACATGCTTCAAGTGGCTAGGAGGGCATCCTCCCTTTTACGGAGGTCCCCCTCTCCTAGAATAAGTAAGGTGGTATTAAACTCCCCATGTATGCCATCTTATGAGGTGGGCTTTTTTGATTTTCCAAAGAATTAATCTTCGAATCAGCTAAGGCCCATCTATTAATTCCAACAGAAGTTTGGTTTTGTCCCCTATGCAATTCGAGTATAATATCTGTCTGACTGATTTCTTTGCTTTCGCTCGTATCATCAGGCCAAAGATTGAAAGAAAGAGAGAAAGAGATCACAACCTGGTGGAATATCTAGCTTCAGCGGAATAGAAGGATCTTCTAGGGCGTTTGCTCAGATGACAGAAAAGTGGCGGAGTTAAGCTGTGTGGAGATTATGGATACCCCATATCTACATGGCAGTTATAGTTAGGTTGGATACAGGGTACCGAATATAGATAGAATATCTTTATGGGAACTCGGGTTAGTTTCTTAACTTGTATGTCAAGGAAGTACCCGGGGTCTTAGTCGGTTACGATTGTATTTTATCTGTAATATCATATTCCGTTAGGGATATGGACTGTATTTTGTAATACGGACCCCTTCCTCTATATAAGGAGTGGTCCGGGTCCTTCTCAGGACACGATTTTTTCTCAGATCATATGATCAATAATACACTCGGCGGAATCATCCCGAACAGGAGTAGGGTATTACTTCTTGATTAAGAAGGCCTGAACCTGTATAAAATTCCTTGTCTCCAAACCCATCCACTTTTCCAGCTTGATAGCCACCCCCTTTTAGTATTACCAAAATCTTGTTTCGACAAGCTGGTAGGAGTTTTTCTTGACATGAAAATTCAGTTTGCTTTCTGTTCTATGTAATATCCTCCAATTGTTTCTGTAATCAACTTCTTCTCAGTATAATTCACATCACTCATGTCTTTACTTCAAAAAATAGATGTTCTCCTACCTTACTCACTGTGTTCTTTTTCCATTCATATTTGTTTGCAGTTTGGCTACTATAGGAGGATCTGACTTCTTCATCGATTTCTTCTCTCTTTTTTTTTCAGCAATGAGCTTCTTGATGTACAGAGAAAGTCTGGGTACCTTCAAGCTTTCTTTCTTCTGCTTGATGATATCATGGATGAGCCAGTACACCGAACATGGCCAGGTTTGTTGGTTTCGGGTGCAGATGGTTGGTGAATCTGAAATTGTCCTCTCGAATGCCACATTGTCTTACTTATGTAAAAATGCATTCATTTTATTAAATAACTTTCTTTGTGGTACCTTTTTCAGTTGTTACTTATGAAACTTATTGCTCATGCCACCATTTGTTGCACAATAGGTTGGGTCCATTGCTATCAATGACGGAATAATCCTTCTCAACCACATCTCATTAATTCTTCAGCTCCACTTCAGGGGAAAAAACTTAATATGCTCATCTCCATTATTTATTAAATGATGTAATTTTTGATGTTGGTGTACATACACGGCCAGTCTGAACTTTCAGGTCATTACAGTCTTACCGCTACTAATTGATCCTAATGACAGTACATAGAAAGAGTATGGATGTGCAAATTTTGGCCCCTTTGTTGAGATCTAAATTATTATTTTGTAGTAGCTAGGCTGCAGCATGAAAGCAAGGTTGTGTTCGAACAGGGTTGTAGGCGAATGTTCGCCATCAGTGGATCACGCGAATCAGTTTAGAAGAGGGAAATCAAATCGGGTCACGCTATTTTCTTCCGTTTTCAATTTTCCTTTTCCTTCTTTTACGTGATTGTTTCGTAATCCGTTGCAAGTATTCTTTCTGTTTTTTTTTTCACTTCCGTTTTTTCATATTTCGTTTTTTTCGTTATAGTTTTTTATAGCATTTTGAACACAGTTCTTGTGGAAACTTTCAACTTTTTATATAGAGAATTTATATATGTAAATTATATATATATAAACTTTGTATATGTAAACTTCATGTAGAAAATGCATCTGTAGTTAGAAAGTTAAGTGCGTAAATTTTACTAGAAATAATAAAATGCTGATGGATTTTTTTAAAGGAACAATTTACTAGGAAACTTTCTATATAGAGAGAAACTTTATATATGTAAATTTACATAGAATTATATCTATAATTTGAAAGTTTAGTGTATAAATTTTACTACAAATAAAAAAATACTGATCATCACTGAAACCTTTTCCAAAAAAATTATAATCCAATCCGAACAAACATCCTAACAGAAAAAACTATAAAAATGAAACGTAGATCTTTTCCATCGCGTGGAAGGGAAAAAAAACCGAAAAAAACGTTTTTTTTTCTGGGGCGCACGCTCTGTTTCTCTTTTTGCCGTTTTCTGTTCGCTGTTCGCTGCCAGCGCACGTTTTATTTTGGATTGCTGGAAATTCATGTTGTTATACTTCAATATTTTGCTGAGTTTATTTGTTTAATTGGAAATTTGGATGAGAAACATCGTACACATAGGTACTTCAATATCATTTACATTTGAGATAATTGTGGGATCAGAAATATGGAATATGACATGTTATATTTCTTCTAAAATGTATTACATAAATGGCTGGATTAAAATGGTTTGCATTCAATTTTATGATAGCAAAATATAGGTTGTAGGTAGGTATGGAGCTATATACTTTCAGAAAACTCCGCGTCCTCTGCACTTCCCCATCTTGATCTGCTCTTGCAGCGATGATTGGTGCCGACGCAGTTAAGTGTATTTGCAATCATGTTCATGTTGAAATTATAAGCACATAATAATTTAATTTATTCCATAAATAAATCATGACATTGCATATGTAAACTAGATTGAACGCATCATTAGATCTACACATATAAACTAAGCAGTAAAACATGAACAGATCAAATATGCGCAACATGTCGAACACGTACCGAGGTGGCGGAAAGACCGGTTGCTCGGCAGGAACTACTCGCGGTTGCGAGCGTCGACAAAGTCGCGAAGCACGCGAGCGGAGAGGAAGGCGAGCCGTCGTAGACAAACAGGGAGCAGTCGCGCGAAGCGCTTCCCAAAAATCTTATTGCCGCCTTCTCCCGGTGCAGGACGTCGAAGGCAGAGGTTCCGGAGACCTGATCTCCCGATCGCCGGTGCACGCCGACGAGCGGGATGGAGTAGTCTACGAGCGACGGCGCAGTACAGAGTAGGAGGCAAACCCTAAATTGATTTCGCGTGTATTGCATGAAGGCGGCGGCTCGGTTTATATAGAGATAGATCGTCTGATCAGGGCGCCCGCGTAAACCGAACCAGATAAGTCGCGCGTAACCTATCCGGACTCCATGCCGTTTTCACGCACCAGATTTTTCGAAATGTTTCCAAAATAAAACAAATCCGAATCCAATCCCGCAGCAAAACAAAACTGCAAAAGGAGGCTACATCTGCGCAAGGGTGAGGAGCCAATTTTAATTTTGCGGACCATTCGACGTCTGCACGCGCGCCGCCTGCGCAAAGGTGAGGAGCCAATTTTGCGGACCATTCGACCCTGTGCCTGGCCAGGCGAGCGAGCGCGTGTGTGTTTCCCCTCTTCTCTCCACCACACATGCTTTAAATGGCTAGGAGGGCATCCTCCCTTTTAAGGAGGTCCCCCTCTCCTAGAATAAGCAAGGTGGTACTAAACTTCATATGCATGTCATCCCATAAGGTGGGTTTTTATGATTTTCCAAAGAATTAATCTTCGAATGGGCCTTAGCCCATCTATTAATTCTAACAAAAAAAAAAGTCTAACGAGTGGAGTTTTATCTAGCTGAGTCGACTCAATACATATCTACCCCTAACCACACCTAAAACTGCAAGCGTCGACCATTATATGACCGGTTAAAAATGTGGCATCACAAATCTTAGACATGACCGGTTAATGAGCCAAAAAGAAGTCATTATAATGAGTCCAAAAGTCGACTCATTATAAACCAAATCTTATGGATATATAATGAGCCAAAAAGAAGTCCAAAAGTCCATGACCGGTTAAACATGTAGCATCACAAATCTTGCATTCTTTTGTTGCGACACGGCCTTGTCCACCGAGAAATGGTACCGGTGATTGCGACGTCGTTCTCATTCACTGAACTTTTTTTAATCCAGTCATGTTTTGACTTGAACATGACCAGTAGTAACTAGTAAGGCGCAGCCTACCCTATATATCACGTACATGACTTTAAAGAAAAACCCTCAAAATCTCCGAGATAATATTGATCCAGGTCAGTTTTGGCTAGTGAAGCATTTGTTTGAGACCATGCGTCTAAAATATTGATTATTGCCAGGGCGTGTCAACTGCCACGGAGAAAAGTCGGGAGGCGGCTCCTGCTGTCCACATCGACTGTTCTCTCTGCATCGCGGAACCTTCTTTTCGGCAAGATCCTTTTGTCTACGTACGTTTAACTTATATCTTTCTTTGTGGAATTTTTCGAGCATTTCATTAATCCTGTCCAATAAGCACGACAACTATTTCTATATTGGGGGTGCATGCAGGTTGTGAATTGTATATGGCTTGATTGGAATACTCCTATATCACTAGATTTCGTTAACGCACCGAAAGCTGCGTTCGTTTCTCCAACAAGGATGAAATTTTGGATACTTATGGCACGCTTTTTAAATTGCTAAACGGTGCGTTTCGTGTGAAAACTTTCTATATGAAAGTTGCTCTAAAATATCATATTAATCCATTTTTCAAGTTTGTAATAATTAAAACTCAATTAATCACACGTTATTACCACCTCTTTTTTCGTGAAACACTTAATCTTTATCTTCATCTTCATCTTCAGAAGATTCAAACACCACCTTCATGTACGTAGATTTTGTTTTTTTTTTTCTGTGACATTTAACTAATTATCGAATTTTGTGTGGTTTGTTGTCCTTATGATTGCTCGGCGAACAAGTTGATGCATTACTACACGTAAGCATATTATATTGCATATATATAATTATCAATTATGTACTTAATCAGTACAATTCTCAATTGTTAAGTGCATCAGCATCTTCTTAGACGACTTGGTTGCATATTGCGCTAATAGTTCAAGGAAACAAAATTAATTAAAATTTTCTGGTAACAACCTGCTGAATAAGTCTTGCAGGGTCATTCCAAAATAATTAATAGTGACCATCACATCAAGCAATGACTACCTGCGTAGAGCGTTTAATTTAAGAAGATCGACAATGGATTACTCCTGGTCGAGCATTACTACAGGCATTGATATTACAATTTTCTATTTTTAAACATTTTTAAAGAGAGCTAATTGAATTCATACCATTAAAAAATTACCGGTCTGATAAAATAATAATATTGCTATTTGTGAAAGCTAAGATGTGTGACACTAAAATTTTCTAGAATTTGAATCAATAGAGTTTTCTGTCGGCATCCTCTTTGATCACCGGTAGACCTACTCATCAGGCCATCTTCATCCTCTAGCCACTGCCTCCTCTCTTTCTAGTGAAAACTAGCTAGTGTAGCACCTCCACCAATTAATTAGCCTCCCTCAACCATCTCTCTACCAATTGATTAGGCCTCGTTCGATCGGATAGAGGGCAAAAGGCCGGGCGGGATACCGGCCTTTTGCCCTGCCCCTTCGGGGAAGCCCACCACGTGGGGAAAAAATCCTTGTGCTGACAAAAATCGCATTCGGTTTGGCCCGGGAAGGTGGAAATCAGGGCTCATTATCCCCCAAACCATAGGGATATTGGTCCACCACCAAGTCTGAAAATAAGTTGGAGATAGGTTTAAAATTCATTATTCTCACTTTTGTTTTTCATCATCTTAGACTAAATGTCCGTTTCTATTGTTTATTTCCGAACTTAATGTTAATTGTTCTTGATTTCAGAATATGTTCTGTTAAAAGTTCTCTCAAAAACGCTGCAACCTGCACATGATCATAGACTGAATATTGGATACTTTTAGTGTGTTCTTGATTAATTCATTTGCTGAAAAGAGTTCATCATTTTACAAAGATAAAGAGAAAAGTTCATTTATACACTGTTGATGAAAAAT